CTCGAAGTGCTAGAGCCAAGGGATGCTTATGAAAAAAGGCATTTTTGACGGGTTGCATATCTTTGCACAGTGCATATCCATAAATACCATAGTACTGTGGGCGTTGAAAAAACATCATCTATGACATCCCTCCATGACGATATTAACGACTCAGAGGAGCCTGAGCGTAAAGAAAATGTTTACCGAAGATATTGAGCTCCATTTTACATAAATTTCGAGTAAACGGGACTCGGTGTCTTTCAAGTGATTGAATTGCGCATGTATCTGGGGAAGTAGACAGTGGGGTGGGGTTAGGCATCATGAATGGTGGAGGGTGTTGCTCACTACAAAGTATCGCTTTACTCCGTCCAGTTAGACGTACATTCTTGGAGATAGATGTAGATTGTTCTGACAGGCTTGTATGGTGGTGCTGAAGCTAAAACCAACGAGCCAGGTAGGTATACTCCACGTTGTAGATCATCCATATCCATCACTGCGGGTACTCTGTTCGCGCTGAACAGCTGCGGTAGCCGCCACAAAGTTCAATGTGTGTACGCAACTACACAGAACTTTGCTAGTGACTATATCATCAACAACCTCGTTCGATCACTCACATCGAATCATAAGGATATTTTCCTAGTATTCAAACAATTGTATAGTTTGTGAACCACGAGTACCTAGTCCTGGCCCGACGATTTAATAAAACGTACAGTTGACTTGTTCATTTGTGTTCGATATATGTTTTAATCAATACATTGTCTCCAATTACAACTCCAACTCCAACTCCCAAGTTCTGGGAGTTTGGATAGATAGATAGAATTACATGAATTTAGATGCCTAAAAACCAAAAACAGATCATCATCATCATCAGTTCAACTCAGCACCGTGACGCCGACCACAAACAACTCACCAAACCAAGCATCCCACTCATCCCACCAAGCCCACCGGAATTCCCTCCGCCCATCATCGAGCTCATCTTGCTCTGAACAAGCATCTTCATCACCATCATCCCGGCACCGTTCACCGCATCCTGTTTAGAGCCAGAAGCTGCACCCCCGGATTGATCGAAGAGCTTCGAAGCTTCCGCCATCGCCATGCTGATCAGCTGGCTCTTGGATCCTCCGCCGCCTCCGCCGCCGGAGGTGAATTGTTTGAAGATCTGTAGTGGATGATGCAATTGGGGATGAGATGAAAGGCTGATAAAGGAGGAGCGGAGAGAGAGAGAGAGAGAGACGTACCTGGAGCGCAGCAGCGCTTCCCATGGATCCAGCACTCAACGAGCCAGCATTGCCCCTCTCATACGCTTCCTGATGTGAACTCGTAACGTGTTCCTCATCGATGGGTTCTTCGTGCTCTTCCTAATCAAATAATCAAACGAGGAAGGATCGTTCGTTAGAATCCCACGACGATCCAATACGCCGAACGTTCAGGATACGAGCCACGACGACCCGTGGGCGCGGGTGGATCCCTGACGGAAAGAAACAGAAACTCGCAGACACCCACCGTGTTGTTCTTCACGTAACTCATCGCATGGGAGAACATCCCCGAGTCGCCGGATCCGTGCTGTTCAGCGGTTTGGACCACCTCGTCGTGGTTAACTTGTTGTGTATGTATATATATATATATGTGTGTGTGTGTGTGGGTGGGTGTGGGCGTGAGCGTGTGCAGCAGGTGCAGTAGGTGTATCGCGTGAGGATGAGCAAGGTAAAATGATGCATCGATCGATGATCGATGATTATCGATTATCTCGTGATCAGAAGAACATATCGCAGAACGAAGGAGACAACTATCCACTCACAGCTTGGACGACTAACGCCCTGCGGACGATTATCAGGAGAGTTGTATTCCGATCCTCCGGTCTTCGAGACGTCGGCTGGATGGTATGAGAATTAAAAGGATCAGCAAAGCAAAGCAAAGCAAAGCAAAGCAACCGCCTATACTCCAGGCAGGAGACCACGAACATTGAGAAGCTTCATACGCTGCGTAACCTTGTTTCGCGAGATTCATGAACGAGTCCTTGAATTCGAAATTCAAATGAGACCATCCAGGATTCAGTTAATTTAGGAAGACACACCATAGCTGTTACTTATCTACCGCAGAAATCGATCTCGGGAGGAGACAAGAAGATGAAGATGAAGATGGTGGTGGTTGTCAGTTGGAATGCAAAACGATTGTCAATCCTGATTCCTGTCTCTGTGCATCGCTTTTGCCGTTTTTCTATAGGGACAAACGTGATGTCAGTGATGCGCCCGGGCGCCGAAACGTGCCGAGGTGTCGAGGTGCCAGAATATGCTATATATATATCGACCCCGGGGCCCTGATACTGGAATTACTGCGAGTACTCGAAGGTGGAGGCGTTCTTTGAGGACGCGGAGGGAATGGAGAGCCAGGAGAGGTGGAGATGAGAAACAGGGAGGAGGAGAGGGAAGGAGGAGACCTAAATTCATGGCCTGCCTAGCTCAATCGGATAGAGCGTCAGACTCTTACGTCTCGCATGTCCGTGGTTTGTGCTTGTCGGGTAATCTGAAGGCTGCGAGTTCGACCCTCGCGGTGGGCTATCTGTAGTGTTGTGGTGGTATCGCACATGTCTTTTTTTTTTTTTTTTTTTCATTCCTTGGAAATGAGAATCAATTTGATTAATCATGTATGGACCATGTCCATGTCCACCTGAGGTCGTTCTCTATGATCTCTATATAACCCTGCTCTCCCTCGTTGAAATGAGTATGGACGAACCATGGCAGTCACCTCTCACTCACTCACTCACCATCCATCGTCCTCCGAGTCCCACTTGCTTCCATCCCCCATTTATGTTCCCAAACAACTACACAACCTCCAAACAAACATCCCTTTCGTCCTCCTTTCGTCCAACATTGCATCGATCATCATCATCATGACCAGTACATATCCCAATATAACAATAGTACATACATACATACAGATTCGAATCTCCAAAGTCAAAAAAACCAAAAAAAAAAAAAAAAAAAAAAAAAAAAAAAAAAAAAAAAAAAAAAAAAAAAAAAAAAAAGAAAAAAAGCAGAGATATCGATATTTCCATTGTGTATATACTAATACTATATACATACATCCATTCAGCGTGGTATACAAAAGAGTACATATGTCGTATGATTACATTACATTGCATTATGTCTATCTAGTATGGATGGATGATGAGAACGATCTGAGTGAGGGGAGATAGCGATGACGAGACGATGCATGAGGACGATCCGACGATCTATGAGTGGAGAGGAAACAAGGAACAGGGGAAGTGAGGAAACGAGGAATAGGGGAAAGTGAGGAAACGAGGAATAGGGGAAAGTGAGGAAAGAGGAAAAGGAGGGGGGGGGGTATAAATGAAGTATAAGGATAACTTTTAGAGAGAGAAAGAGAGAAATTGAAATTGAGATGAGACGAGGGTAGATGAGGGGAGATGAAGGCAGGGGCAAGACAAGACAAGACAAGCATGCATGGATATATGGGTGGTAGCATCCATAACCGGACAGGAGTGAGTGAGAGTGGGAGAGTGAGAGTGGGAGAGGGAGGGAGGAGGGACCGATCGAGGTAGATGAGGAGCGGGAGGTGGATGAAGGCAGGGCGGAGCATAAGTAGCATAGTGTGACACATCCATCGACAGCATTGTCGACGACGATGATAACAGTGAAAGCAAGGAAGGAAGTCATGTGTGATTTATGTAACCGGAATGCATGAGCGACGACGAGAGTGAGATGGACGATAGTGAGATGGAAATGCATAGCACAGAAACAGACCAAAGAGAAAAAACCAGAGGGTGGGGATATAAAGATATATATATGCCTATACGCGCATGCAAAAAAAAAAAAATCAATCAAAAAAATCAATCAAACAATCAAAAAAAAAAAAACCAACCTCCCTGTCGAAAAAAACCCAGCTCAAACACTCGTCGATATCGCAAACCTCTCCCTCGTCGGCGTGGGCCCAGCCCACGGCACCTGAGTTTGAGTTGCATCCTGATCTCGAGGCTGATCCTGAGATTGCGATTGCGCTTGCGCCTGAATCATCGCCACGAACGAGTCCACATCCACATCCCCGTTTCCTGCATCAGCTCCAACCCCAAACCCAAGCCCAAAATCCACATTAACATTACTCCCAAACCCCGAATCCCCATCCAACCCGCCCTGGGTCTGAGTCTGAGTCCCCTGCAGAAACTCGGGGAACCCGGCATCGAGGTTGAACTCCGGGAGGGACGGGAAGGAGGAGAAGTCGAACGTGTCGAAGGACGACGACGACGGGTTGGGGAATGTGGGGAAGGCGGGGAATGTTGGGAATGTGGGGAGAGAAGAGAGGGAAGAGAGGTCTGGGAGGGAGGAGAGGGAGGAAAGATCCGGGAGTGTAGGGAGTGTTTGGAGGTTGGACCCAGAGTTGGGATGCGCGTGAGCGGTAGGAGGGAAGTCGGGGAATATATTCGTGCTGGTGGTAGAAGAAGAGTTATTGTTGTTGTTATTGTGATTATTACCACCATTCAGTATATCCCCCGGCGTCAACGCCTTCGCTCCAACCCCCCGCTCACGCTCCTCCGTGTCCCCGTCCTCGTCCCCAAACAAACTATCCCGTTCCCGGTCCCCATCGCCGTCTACGTACCTCTCCTCGTATTCCTCCTCCGTCAAGCTCCCGGACGCCGACAACGCGGGAGTCGAGGGCGACGACGACGACGAGGTGAAGGAGGAGTTCAAGGACGACGCAGACGCCGTCCGACCGTACAACGAAGACAACCCCGGGAACGCGGTACGCAAATCCGGGACAGTAACATCCACACTGTTACGAGGATCGAAATACACCTTACCGTCGCCCAAAACACCCGCCGCATCATCCGAACGCATAACAGGATCCGGGAACCCGAAAAACAGCGGATCCATCCATTGGTTCCCGAAACCCTTTTCCAGTGCGAGACCCTCCGGTGGTGGTGAGGGGGCCGTGAGGGTGGTAAACCAGGAATCCAAAATAGGGGCAGGGAAGCCGGAGAATGTGAGTGGTGGTGGTGGGGTGTGTATTTGTGCTTGTTGTTGTTGTGATGCCGGCATTGGGGTTGGATCGGAGACGCTCCGGGAGAGCGCGGCAGAGTTGAGTGCTGTGCGGAGTCGTTTGGTTGATGGGGATACGGCGGGGAAGGAGGAGGAGGAAGGATCGGCGAAGGATACTGTGCGTTTGCGTTTGAGGTTCGCGGTGGGGGTTGGGGTTGGGAAAGTGGCGTCGGTGGGTGTGGGTGGTGCAGAGGACGAAGGGGTGGACGAGTCCGAGGGGGAGAGGTATCTGTGAGTAGACCCAGTGAGTGATAGTGTTCCTCGTTTCGCAGAGGAAATATACCTTTTTCGTTTCTTCCCGTCACTTGTATACTCCTCCTCATCTTCTTCTTCCTCCTCCTCTCTCTTGACCCCCCTACTCCTCTTCCTCCTCCTCTCCTCCTCCCTCACCTCCTTCGCCATCTCCCCCAAGCCCGGCGTCCACTGCTTCACCCGACTCGTCACCGCCACCGCCAACTCCGTCGGATGCAACTTCTCCCGATAAAGCATCCTCGCCGTGTCCGCCATCACCGTAAACGTCTGGTTCTCCGACGCGCTCAGATCGTTCGCGTTCGCCGAGTACGCCAGCCCCAGCTCCGGCCCACCCACCGACACCGCCGGTCTCACGAAAAACCGCGTCGCCGCAGCCACCAGCTCTTTCCTCGTTTTGTATTTCGGCACCTCCGTGATGCCGTTGACGAAGTTGTTTATCGGGTTCGGCGGCGGGCCGAGGGTTTTGTGCGGGCGGCGGACGCCCGGGGTGCCTTTTCCGTGGGTCTTGGCGCCGCCGCCTTTGAGGCCGCTGCGGCCCTCGATGAGGTTGGTCCAGCCGATGCGACGCCGGACGTCGACGAACCAGGCGTCGATGAGGCGCCGGGGGGTGTTGGTGGAGGAGGCGATGCTGTCGCGGATGGAGGTGGAGGGGTAGGGGTTGTGCAGGTTGGACAGGAGCCACGTGTACGAGGGAGGGATGTAGGATGGGAGGTTGCCGCTTGAGAGTTGGGAGGAGGGGGATGGGGAGCGTGTGGCGAGGGATGGAGAGGGTGAGCGGGAGGGGGTGTTTTGTAGTTCTTTCTCGAGAGTACTGTCGACAAGATCTTCACGAAGTCGAGTCGTGAGGTCGTTCGTCTTGACTTCCAGGTTTATGAATGTATCACAGAGTTTCTCTATGCACTGTGTAAAACCAAGTCCTAAAGCGCTCGTTTCTGCGTCTAAGGCGCCTCGACCAGAGTCAACATCGTGGTGTAAAGTTTGCCAAGAAGTGATAGAGGCAGTAAAATCCGCTTTCTGGAGTGAATCGAAGAATTCATCCACAGAAGACCGTAATAGATCGTCTATGTTCTTCATAGAGGCCATGGGTATAAAAGTGGTAGTAAAAAGAACCCGAGTGCAGTCTCAAATAATACAAGTTTTAAACTCCGCCCATTGTTCTCGTGAGAACAACATACTCATTTCGTCGAACAATGTGCAAACAATCGGAAGTGAAGTGCAATTGAGAAGAAGTAACTCAAGTTCACTCCACAAACTCACCATACCACCAAGCATGGACGTTCACCAATTAGCTGCAGTCAAACAGAAGATATCCGAATCTGCGACAAAATTCAAGGCACTACACGAAAAACACTTTGGACCCATCGAGACATCCACACCTATCTCTCCCGAGCCATTTCTACCCTTGGAACTCATCGTACCACCTGCCATCCATGCCCAGGTGCAGGAATATCAGCTCACTTTTAGAGCTCAGCAAATTTTCTTGAATCAACTGGGAAATATCATGGATGATTATGCTCGTCAGTTTGAGGAGTCCTGGCATAAACTCGGTCACATAATGCGCCAAGAGCCGAAACTGCGTTCACGCATAGCTATCATAGAGTCGAACCTACGAAAAGCTCTACAGTCTCATTTCGAGAAGAATGGTCTGCCTCCCGTTTTGCGCAAATTGAGAGAATACGCAGAGAAACACCCACGCCCCTCCACACCCCCACCCGCACCTCGTCAATCCTCCGTCCCAGCATACGAAGCCCCCGTCCCATTCAACAACGTACGTCTCTCCGCTCCCTCCCTCCTCCTTCCCTAACTAACAACCCCTTACCCAGGAATACACACCCATCCTCGAAACCTACTTCCAATACGACCCCTACCCCTCCTCTCGAGACCGCCAAATCATCGCCGAGCGGTCGGGCATGACACGGCGTCAGATCGAAGTTTGGGTGAGTGTGACACTTGTTTTGCTATCGTATCTATCGCTAACCCTTTCTTTGTTTTTCACAGTTCCAAAACCACCGCCGCACAGCACGTCAATCCGGGATAACCCTCCCAGCGAAACGACCCCCGGGGGCTATCGCGCCGCCGGGGCTGAACGTCCCGTTTTCTGTGGGGCAGGGTGCGGAGGAGTCGAGTGGGGAGAAGAAGGAGAGAAAGGCACGGATGTTGGATATGTTTAATATACATTCCAAGGTCCGGGCTATGCCTGCTGGCCAGGGCATGTCGGCAGACGACCCGATTCCGATCGATGGAGCACCGG